TGCGCTTATCCAAATCTATCGCAATTTCTCCTCATTCTTCAAGGCCTAGTTTTAGAAACCCCCTCCTCTTTGAAGCCTTCTGTAAATGCATCCTAACTAATGACTCTTCCTTCGGACTCACATACCACACTATTTGTATATTTAACATTCTGTTCATTCTGCTTTGCTTTACATCAGCACCAGTCTAGGGCATCCGGTGGGCAGAGACTCTTTTAATCACCTTTGTACCTGCAGGATCTGGCCCAATATAGAGACACTGCTTAGGAAAGACTAGGAAAAACTGAGCATATGGGCTCTCAAATCTTTTTTTAGCTTCTAAGAAAAAGGACACTTTGAGTACCCAGTCTAGTGTCTGCCACTGGCACTTAATAGGAACGCAGTAGATCTTTATTAAATCTATTAAATCAAGTTGAATATTAAGATTCTTTTCATTTTATTAAGAAGATGGTTAATCCTGGAAAAGTCAACATTTCAAGCAACACTTCACCATTTAACACATGGTGGTTTAGATGACTGGCTCCTCCCATTTTGTGCGGGTTTTGGTAGACACTACAAGGACAGAAGAAGAGAGAATGAGGACACCGGGCAAGGGTGGAGGTGGGGGGCAGGGGCGGAGGTGGGGGGCGGGGGCAGTGAGGGCTTTGACGGAGAAACACCCACTGTCTAGTTGCAACAATAGCAGGTTTTTTATCCCCAACCACAGGAACCCAGTGCATCACAAACAGGAAACACCAGCCTGTGACAGCCAGCTGTAAACCCATCAGTAAATCCGATTTTCAGTTCCCTGAAGGGTTTGCATGTCAAATACCTCAATCCTGAGGCCTTTGGTCATAACAGCTCAAAAGGTAAAAGTCAAAGACCAGAGTGGCTTCGAAGCATGTACTTCAGTATGTCCAAAAGTCTCCCCAAGAGCTCAAGCCAATCTCTGTAAAAAGGGATATTTCATGTGAACTCTCCAAAAAGCTCCAAGAATTCTGACTCAGTTAAATCAAATTACAACTCACTTTAGGTGAGGGGAAAAGATCTTTGAGTGAAGCTCAGAACCAGTCTTCTTCAGTCTGTGGCCTTCAGCTGGCCTACCACCCAATTAAGGCAGAAGGAATGTGATGTAATCACTAGTTGTTCTCAATGTTGACATAATTGTTACTATCCATAAAAATTTACAAAAAAGGCCATAAGTCCATGGACAACCTAGAGTTCCTCCCAAACCACCAGTAATCTCTACACTGCCCTTAAAGAATAATGACCTTAAGCTGTACTTTTTCTAAGTTTGAACGGAATGTAGAAATTCATTCTCATTGGACATGATTTCACCACCAAAGTGACATTCTCTTATGAGACTGATAAGGAATCGTCCTATTTTACTAAAAATGAAAAAAAGTAAGTATGTCTAGAGTTAGGGCCTTCATATGAGTTTTCAGAAAGTGAAAATGATCAGAGAAGCTCTGAAGAGAGGATGCTGCTCTGGGTGACAGCGGGCGGCTGGAGCTGCACTGGCCACACTGAAGGAGCCCAGAAATGCCTGAGGCCTTCCATTCAGTCCCTGGGGCAATCTGCACACCTGGCGTTTCCAATTATTTTAGAAGGCAGCTGCTCTGGTTTCCACACACTTGCTCTGCCACCAAGTGTTCTACAGAAACGCCAGGTCCAATGAGATAGCTCTGGGTGGCCAGGGTCATGTCTTTTTCATTTTCTTTTTTAAGAGATGGGGTTTCTTTCTTTTTTTTTCTTTTTTTTTTTGAGATGGAGTCTTGCTCTGTCATCCAGTCTGGAGTGCAGTGGTGTGATCTCAGCTCACTGCAATCTCTGCCTCCTGGATTCAAGACACTCTCCTGCCTCAGCCTCCCAAGTAGCTGGGATTACAGACGCGCGCCACCATGGCCAGCTAATTTTTATATTTTTTAGTAGAGACGGGGTTTCACCACATTGGCCAGGCTGGTCTTGAACTCCTGACCTCGTGATCTGCCCGCTTCGGCCTCCCAAAGTGCTGAGATTACAGGCGTGAGTCACCATGCCCAGACAAGAGATGGGGTTTCTTTGTGTTGCCCAGGCTTGTCTTGAACTCCTGGGCTTAAGGGATCCTCCTGCCTCAGCCTCCCAAGTAGCTGGGACAACAAAATTGTTAGAAAATTCAATAAAGCTTCCCCATGTGGCTCTTTAACAGTCATCTGTTTCAAAAATTGGTTTTTAAACAAAATTAATGTGTGAAACTTATCTGATCTGGATTTGAACAAACCAACTGCAAAAAGTCATTTCTAAAAACAAAAGAAATCTGATTATGGACTGCATAATTGATAATATAAAAGAATTAGTGTTAATTTTATTAGCTGTGATATCAGCATTGCATTTATGTAATGTGTTTATTTTTTAGCGATGCAGGTCATGCCTCTTTAATCTTTGAATTCCACATTACCAACATATAATAAACACATGAATCCTGTGTTTAGTGCCATCGTTTCTCCTCATGGCAAAAATATTCAGTTATGTAAAGTAGGTCAATCTCAAGCTGAATATGGAAAAGTTTAATCGAACAGATTAGGTGTAGGACATTGAGGACCTGAAGAAAGTGAACATCAGGCACTAGAGGTACGGGTCTACTGGGAGACTGACATCACTTGGAGATGAGTTATTTCTCCACCAGGTGACAGGCTAATGGCACAGACAGTCCAGTGGTTTGTCAGCTGAAAGTGACGTGTACAGGAGAAAGCCAACAAAGGACCTAATGAAGCCCTCTCAGGATGTCTAGCTCCAAAATGGCCCCAGACTACGGCATCTTGAAGAAGTCAAGTCAGTTTCCAAGGGGTTCTAACCAGATCCCTTTGGCTTGTCTCTCCCTAACTAAACTCTAAACGTTTAGGGTTACCCTGATCTCCCAGGATGGTTTGTGCCTCGGCAGTCCAGAGCCCAGTCCAGAATCTACATTCCTGGGTAAAACGCCTTCTTACAAAGGTCAGGAGCATGAATGCCTTCTGAGGCAACCATGTGACTTACAGAGTTATAGTAACTACAAGATGGGCTGTTATGCCATCAAGCAATTCCATGAAGTACTAACAGGTCACTCTCATGCTACAAATGGGCCATTTCAGCATCACACCAAAAGGTTTTCAATACAATAATTTACGCTCTGAAAAGACCGTACTTTTACTAAATAGGAGAACAAAATGTAAGCCTGCAAGCACACCCATCAGTGAATGACTCTGAGCATCCATAACTAACTTTCTAAACACCAAAATAACAAAAATGATTCACGGGTGTTAAGTGCTCAAGCGTTTGACAGTTTGTTGTTATTCAACGCCCAATACGCAAATAGTATTAACATTCTTGTCCAATAAGATAAAATTTTGGCTAACAATCTTTCTCATTAGAAATTCCAAACAAGGCTGGGAGCAGTGACTAATACCTATAATCCCACCACTTTAGGAAGCCTAGGAGGGAGGATCGCTTGCACCCAGGAGCTGGGGGCTGCAGTGAGCTATGATAGATAGCGCCACTGCACTCCAGCGTGGGCGACAGGGCGATACCTTGTCACTTTAAAAAAAAGGGGGGGGAGGGGTGGGCCGGGTACGGTGGCTCACGCCTGTAATCCCAGCACTTTGGGAGGCCGAGGCAAGCAGATCACAAGGTCAGGAGTTCGAGACCAGCCTGGCCAACACTGCGAAACCCGTCTCTACTAAAAAATACAAAAATTAGCCAGGCGTGGTGGCGGGTGCCTGTAATCCCAGCTATTCGGGAGGTGGAGGCAGGAGAATTGCTTGAATCCGGGAGGCAGCGGTTGCAGTGAGCTGAGATCAGGCCACTGCACTCCAGCCTGGGCGACAGAGCAAGGCTCCATCTCAAAAAAAAAGGCGGGGTGGGGAGGTGGGGGGATAGAAATTTAAACCAGTATGAGTGAAAATGCCTCACATTCAGTGCATCCTCCAACAGGATTTGTAAGCTAAAGTTGAAAGATCCATTTCAAAGATCTTTTTCATTTTAAAGGAATGAAAAAATTAAAACGAATTACGCACTAAGTAACACTACTGACATAATGCTTACTTCGTGTTTTACATGTTAATTCATTAATCCTTGTAATAACCTTTTAAGTACCATCATTATCCCCATTTTACAGTAGCGGAAACAGTACACTGAGGCAAGGCAGCTGAGTAGCTACGTTTGGTTTAGTGGTTGAGCCAGGATGCCTAGGCAATGTGACGCCGGAGTCTCGGTCTGTGGTTCCCAGGTGTTGGTGCCCATTGGAATCCCCTGGGGATCTTTAAAACGCCGTCTCCAGGCACTCTGGTTAACAGGTATGGGGTGAGACCTGGGCATCAGAACTCTGAAAGTTTCCCAGGTGATTCTAAGCAAAGTTTGGGAACCGCTGGGTATTAAAAGCATTCCTAGAGTTCTGTTGCTTCTCCTGCTTAAGAGTTCCTTCGCCGAGGCGCTGAGCTCACGGCAAAGGTAGAGAAAGAACGCTAACGGGGAGGGGCGGCCAGCTTTGCCAAGGGTTAGGCCGGGGAGCCGAGCGTGAAAGACGAGCCGCGGCGCGGAAGGCTCGGGCCGGAGGGTGCGCGCTGTTGCGCGGAGCGATCCGATCCGGGGAGGGCTGCGGGCTCAGCTCCAGGTGCGCACGAGCAAGGGTCAGCTGGGCCAACGGGCGCAGGCCACTGTGCCGCGGGGACGGAAGCGGTGAGGCGCGCTGGCTTCTCACATGACTCCCCTCCAGGGCCCGGCTGATGCTGCCAGGAGGGGACCGCAGGGTCCCACACCCCCCGGGAGCTCCGCTACGCCGCCAAGCGCCTCCCGGTCCTGGGGGTGCGCGTCAGAGGCGGCCCGCAGGGACCTAAGTTACTTTGCGCCGCCCAACGCAAGAACGCCGGGAAGTTCGTTACTTTCCTCGGCTGGGCGGGGCGGGGCGGGACGGACCCCGGACCGAGGCGCGGGGAAGGGAGCGAGGCAGGGGCATCCCAGGCGCGGCCCGGCCCCCTCAGGTCCCTTTTCGTCGCCCACCGTATACCCACCCGGAGGTGAAATCCTGCTGCACGCTCAGCAGCCGCTCGCGCAGGGTCTCCAGCATTGCCACCGCCGCCGGTCTCCTCTCCTCAGGCCTCGGGCTCCTGCTGCCTCTGTCGCCCCCTGGGTCCCACGCCGCCCACCCCGCGCCCCGCACTCCCACTGCCGGCCCCGCCCCCGGTCTGCTCCTCGCCTCCGCGCCGCAGCCCCGGCCCCTTCCGCGTTCCCGCCCCGCGCGCGCCAGGCTCGCGCAGCCGCAGTGGACTGCGCCCGGCTCGGGCTGCGGAAAAGGGGCGGGTCTTCCCCCGGCAGAGAGGGCCAGTACCTGCTCCGCTCCTTGCTAGCCCGCACCAGGCCTTCTCGTTTTTGTTTTGTTTTGTTTTGTTTTGTTTCTTCAAAATGGAAGCGGCATCATGAAAGGATGCTTTAGCTCGAAGCCTCCTTTGAGGGAAGTGTTGGCTTTTACGGTTTGGAAGAGAATTGGATCTATCTCTTGCATAGGCGATGTGCACAAATCATTGTATGGATTCTAGGTCCAGGATCTGACCCCACTGGCTTTCACCTTGGATGAGTTAGTCAAATATTGAGCCTCGGTTTCTTCATTTATAAAATGGCAGTAATAGTCGACTGTCTCGACATTCTTACTTTCCACTCTCTCTTTACCCCCTCAGGCTTTTGTGCTCTACACACCAAAGGTGATCGTCTTTCGCGAGGCACCAGTGACTTCCATGTTGCTGGTGCCTTTTATTACTTCTCTGTCCTGATTTTTTCTCTACCTCTCAGTGGCTCTCAACGCAGTTTATCATCCCATCCTTAAAACACATTCTTCTCTTGCTAAGCACTCCATACTTCCTCTCTCCCTTCCCCTCCACCCCTTCTCCTATTTTAATAGCCACTCCCAAGGCTACATGCCCAGCCTCCCAGCTCTTTTCCAGATGTGTTGTTCCATAGGTGAGTCTATCCATTACCATGCTGTAACTTCTGTCAAGGAACCGATGACTCCCACATCTCTATTCTCTGCCCTGTACTTCCTCCCCCTCCGTCAATTCATACCAGTTGCTTACTCATGTAAGCATGTATACAACATGTATCCAAAAGGCATCTCAGACCAACCTACACAAAATTGAAAATTTCATTCATTGCATGTTCACCTTTAATCTGCTCATCCTGTATTTTCCATTTCAGGAAATGACACCACCATCCACCAAGTTACTCAAGGTAAGACACTTGAAATCACCTCTGGTTCCCCTCTTTTCCTCGTTCCCCATATTAACCCATCAAATCCAATCAACTCTACTCCTGACATATTTCTGGAACCTGCTCCTCTTTCTATATCTTCACTATATTTATTCTGGTCGAAGGCACCATCCTCTTTCAGTAGGAACACTGACAATTCTTCCAGATGCTACTCTTTTGCCGTGCACACCCCTATAATCCATCCTTGACACAGCAGCCCGAGAGAGTTATTTAAAAGATCAGTTGGATCACGTTGCTCCCCTGCTTAAAATCTTCCAATTGCCTCCTGGGCACTTGGAATAAAATTCAAACTCCTTACCCCCTTAGCCCTAAAATTTGAACCTTTTCTGGCACTCTATCCAAATTGATTACTAGTCACCTATCATGTCCTTGACAATTAAGACATAATAGCCTCTTTTTTTTTTTTTTTGGTATGTTCTTTGAAAATTCCAGGTTTATTTCCACCTGTAGTGTTTTCACAAACTTTTCTCCAAACTGTCCCTTGTCTGGCTCCTTATAAGAGTCACATCCTAAATAGCATCACATTAGATAGATTTTTCCTTACCATTCAAGTTACACACCCAGTCACTTCCTATCATGTAGCCTGTTTCTCAACTTAGTACACATTAGAAAATTTATTCAATAATTATTTGTTATTAATTTAGTTGTTTACAAATTTATTTTAAAGCCAAGACAAGGCATTCACCTCAGGTACAAAATTTACGGGAGCCAAAAAACTCAGTAATCAAGATAAGTAATATTTTAATACGATATTTTAAAAATTCAAAATTAATGAAAAAAATCTGTGATGAACAAAATATCAAAATTTTAAATACACAGGATCTGTTAGGGCTGGGATTGGATGAGGCCAGTAAGGTGGGTAGCACAAGTACAGGCCCTGATGTAAACTGCTGTCTTATTAAGCTTTGCATCCCCAGCATTGAAAAGAGTGAATGGCACATAACAGACACCCAGTAAATGTTGTTTTGTTGCAGGAGTTAAATAAGATAAAGGACTTAGCTTGTAGCTGGGGAACTGCCTCTTCTACACTCTTGATGTTTTCTTCCGTAGGAAGGGAGCTCTTCTGCTAACATAAAGAAGTACCCAGCCTTTCCTGGTGGAGAAAAGGTGACTATGATGATTAGTGAGCTAGGAAGTCAGGAGCTTGGTCTCATCATCCTTTCTTTTTGTTGAGTGAAAACTTCCAACAAAGAGCATTCATTCTGCTACCTAAGGACAGGCTTGAAGGGCAACCCCATGCTTTTTGTGACTGGGCACTAGAAGTTCTGCTTGCCCATGAATATAAGCCATGTGTTCCATCAGTCTTCCTAGAAATAAAAGTGATGTTTTGGCCTCTTTATGGTGACTCTATTGTTTTATTTCTCAGTTTGCTCAGACAAATAAGAAAGAGGAGTGCTGTTTATTGAGCCGCCTTCTACCTTTCAGAAACAGTGCCTGGTACAAAGCAAGTGATCAAATGATCAGAGACAGGTCCGTTATTATCTAATAGATTTGAAAACCACAAGTACTGGGAAATATAACGTATTTTTTCTTTTATTTAATTAAACTCTACACATAAGCTTTCAATTTACTAAGTTTCATACATTCCAACAAAGCACCAAATCCACTCAAAAAGACTCTTGCCTGTCACTAAAAAATAGCTTTACTGGTTGTGACTGATCATTTCTGTCGTGACCAATGCATTGTTTATTAGTCTGTGGCATGTTTGTGTTTGAGGTGCTTTCTGAACATTCTTAATCCCATCATGTCTATTAAATTCAAAAACAGTGAAAGTTTTAAAAGTGCTAATAAAAAGATAATTTATGATTTAAAAAGTAAATGTTAAAAAAAATTAGAAAATAACTACTGTTGTAAATGAGTTGCTCAGGAGGAATGATTAAGGACCAACAGTTGAAGCAAATGACATGTCGTGTTTACATAAGTAACCTAGTTTCAGTCAGAAAGGAAGTAGAAAGTAGGAAGATGGATTGGCAAAATGAAAAAAAAAAAAAGAAAAAAAAAAGCTTTTAAGTACAGTTTGAGAACCAACATCAATATGGTAGCTATTGACCTAATCTTAATTCAGGAATTGGTTGAGAGTTGATTGTTGTTTGTTTCGGGTTTGTTTGTTTTGTTTTAAGACGGAGTCTGCCTCTGTCACCCAGGCTGGAGCGCAGTGGTGCAATCTTGGCTCACTGCAGCCTCCACCTCCTGGGTTCAAGCGATTCTCCTGCCTCAACCTCCTGGGTAGCTGGGATTACAGGCTCCCGCCACCACGCCTGGCTAATTTTTGTATTTTTAGTAGAGACAGGGTTTCACTATGTTGGCCAGGCTGGTCTTGAACTCCTGACCTCAAGTGATCTGCCTGCCTCGGCCTCCCAAAATGCTGAGATTACAGGCATGAGCCACCGCGCCCAGCCGAGAGTTGATTTTTTGAGACCATATTAGTTGAGCCCAAGGAAATCTTTGGTGATACAACGTATGGGGCGAGCACCAAAGCTGCTAAGAAGCTCCCTGAAATAGTGTTTCCCTGACCAGCAGCAGCCACATCATCTGGGAGCTGCTTGCAAAGGTAGAATCGTACGCCCCAGCCGACCCTACTGAATCAGAATCTGAGTTTTATTAAGACCCCCCCCCAGGTGATTTTTATTCATGTTAAAATTTGAGAAGCGCTACTCCCTGAGGAAAGGGAGTTTCCTGTCTCAACAGATTCTTGTTAGACACAAAGTGATAAATGAGGGTTTGGTGGAATTAGAACCAAAGAGGAAGATGCTATTAAAGAAGGGGCTATAGAACCCAGAAAAGCACATACCGTTTCATTGGCAGAGGTCTTTTAGAGTAATTGGAAAGGCACTATGGTTAATTGCTTTGCAGGAACCTGATTTAGATTTGTAAAGATATTTACAGTGTGTTGTTATCATTTGTGATTTTTTTAAAAAGCCAACATGTAAATATTTTTGATATCTTTGCTTTTCAAGAGTTTAATGGTTACAGAAGAATCCACGTAAGAGCTGTAAATGTTTCTTGTGAAGCAATGAGTATTTCTAAGAATGGGGTAAGCTAGACAAAGCTGGAAAGGTGATATCAGCACGGCATTTTGAAAAGAAAAGCAGAGACAGAAATCAGGGAGGTGAAGGAGGGGAATTCCAACCCGAGAGAGGAAAGATTAGAACGCAGCTGAAGAACAGGAGAGAAGTGGGTAGTTAGAGGATATCAAGGTCGGAAGACAGAAGCTATAATAATAGATTTAGACGGCAATCACTGTCGGGAGTGACAGCAAGGTTGAAAATGAGTATTTCACCTGAGCTGAGCAGAAAGAACAGTAAAAGGATCTCAGCTGCATCTATTTGTGTTCCAAAATTGTATCCCACTGTCATAAAATGACTGAGGACCTAACCTTGTCTTTTTGCTCAGATGAAAAAAGAAGGCACTACACCATTGCATTAAAGGAGGAAAACGTTTATTTTTTAATATGTGTTTAGATCTATATGATCTATAAAGATACATTAGAGGAGGAAAACTTTTATTTTTTGTTAATCTGTGGTTGGATCTATATGGTCTATAAAATATCCATAAACAACCAAGTGACTCCATTCATCAAAGTGTAGGGACTCTCCATGAGTAAAGGCAACCAGGTTCTGCACTTTTACAAATAGATGGTTCCCCTAGAGAGAATATATTTCAGAAATCACATCTTCTGAACCGCTATGCCATAGAAATATCTTTGTGTGGTAAAACTTAATAACAAACTGAAAGTCTTCAGTAAGAATTAGTGGCCAAAAAAAAAAAAAAGTTTGAGACAATGACTACCTATAGCTAACTATCAGGTCAATACATGCTGGTGGGGGAGCTGTAATAATTGATCATTATTAGGTTAAAATAATTGATGATTATAATTGCAGTTAAGTGATAGTTCTCAAGCCTGGGTACACCTTCAAATCACATGGGGAGCATTTTAGAAATACCAG